CTACATATATATATATATATATATATATATGCTTGATACGAGTGTGTTGTTATATGCCCGACAACAGCTCGCAATGCATGCCCTCCTTTCGTTAGCGACTATTGACTCGCGTGTGTTATAAGTAGATGTAGAAATTATCGAAGATAATAAGCAAATTGTCGAATTTCATATAATTTTGCTAACTGAATGTTCTAGTGAAAGATTTATGACCGTATATATATATATATATATATATATAAGAAAATAAATTCATACGAAAGTTGACTGAAGGCTCTTGCATGTATTAGTTATAGAAACGTATACACGATCGGCAGAAAAAGTTGTGATCAATACCATGATTTGCGGAAAACATTGAATGGTTGGCAAATAATCGGACGCGGTGTTAATTAAAAAGTAAACTGAAGAAACCATGTGTATGCACAGAATTCATGTATTTCCCTGTTCAATGTCTTTCCAGAACGAATTTTTTTATCAAGCTACATGTATTCTACAGGTAGACTACGTTAATTTTTACATGTATTCTAAATCACCGAGTCGGCGCTAAGTCACATTGTTCGGTGTTTTAAAAATATATGAATTTAATAGTTATAGTTTGTTTTTCGTACAATGCTGATCTAATGGACTCATACGCGGTCTCTATTGCTTGGTTTTCTGAAGCCGTGGGCTAAACTTTCATTTTATCCTCCGTGTATGCATGGGTTTTCCCTGGCCTGTCGGAAAAAATTTACACCTACAGCCTGGGTTGCGGGGCAAAAACTCGAATGTTCGGATCGAGCTTTTAAAGATTTCAGGCGCTTACAGACGTCTAGTTGTATTGTATTTTTTTACAGCCGTTGGGGTTTTGTCGTAGACTGCATCCTTGACGAGTAATGATTGAATTTTTAATTTTTTAGGATGGACACTTGACATTTTGTTTGAATTTTTTAGAATAAGACTTAGTCCCATAAATCATTTTTTTCTGCTACTGGGATATGAGCAGGATGCGTTCAGGGAATTCCCGTACTGGCTTAAATCGATGGATGCAATTGGTGTAAGTAGCTGTTAAAAATACTGCTGAAAACATACTGGCTTTTTAAACATAAGAAGACGAATACAATATTTTAAAGTAATGACAATTTGCTAAGCTTGTTTTGACTTTTTAATACATCGCAAAGTAAACCATTTAAATAATGTAAGTACAAACATTTTTTTGTGACTGCCAGCGTAAACAGATTTAAGATAATTGGTTACATTGGCATATTTTTCTTCTTTCTACGCTCCCGAAAACACTAAGAGAGCTGTGATACCTATTATTTGATTACATATAAAATATAGGATTGCAAAATATAAAAATCTATCTCCAAAATCTATAAATGAGACCCAAATGGTCTTGTGCAGTTGAGAACAACAAATGACGAAAAATGTAGGTTTTCAAAGTTATTTTAGGAAAAAAGTAACTTGGCTAGTGAAGAATGTTTTTGTGCAACTCGTTTAAAAACGAAAAGTAAAAAGTCAATGGGTGAAATGATTTACTTGCTTTAATTTCAAGCTAGGAAAGAAATAAACATTAAAAGCGATTGAAACAGGCAAATAAAACGTTGAAAACGTTTCAGGGATCAATTCCAACATCAATTCAAGAACCCAAGAAATAAAAGTTTAACCTATAAAGAAAAGCGTAAGTTGCACGGATTGATTAATTATTAAATATCGAATAAAAGGGCCAAGAAAACAACAACCATTCGTTTTAAATTTCAAGCTGATGAAATCCCTGAGCGTCGTCTAGGCAAGTTTTCTTCTAAAAATTTGAGAGATTCACACACCACAATTTGAGTCACCAGAGGCGAAACCGAAAATCTTGGTGACTGGTAGGCATGCAGGTACGCATCGAGAAGGGAAAGATGTGTCGACGTTTCATCCGTTTAAAAATGCTAATCGATAGAGTTTTATCTTACTGGTTTGTTCAGTACTTAGGGTAAAACCTTTCCATTACAATTTTGCTTATCTCTTTTTGTTTGTGCTTGTATTCCTTATTTTAATTTTTGAGCTGATTATCGAGCTGGTCATCTTGATGTTTTCAATGATGATTTGGTGAAATAACTGAGAATTTTTTTCAATTTGCAAGATAAAAAATGTAGTTACTCAAGGAATTTGTATCACTAGACAAAGAATAATAAGACTACAACAATTAATTTGTTTTTATGTCCATCAATTACTTGCTTAAAATTTACCTCTGTAGATTTTGGACGTGTTAAAATTCAACTCAAACAAACGTCGAGGCTTCAGCCGTATTTACCATACTTTTAATATTAGTGATAAAAATCAGAGTTGAATAGAGGCCCAAAAAACCAGAGTTGAAAGGTCAATTGTTTAATGTCTTATAGAACAATTCTACAAAAAATTACATAAAAAATTTATAAAATTTTCCAGCATATTGTATATCACACTGTTAGAAAAAACGGGCAAAATACGTGTAACACGTTTCTTTTCGACGCTCATTAACCGTAATCTTGTCATTCGGTTATTCACCGTGGTTTGTTAGACTTCAGCGTTAGATGGCGCCACTGTCATCAGTCGAGTTAATACCTTGACGCCAACTTGAGTGGAAGACATCGTTAAAGAGCTAAATTTATTCAATTTATTTTTGCAACACCACGGAGGTAATAAATGAGTAGCTCCGAATATCATATTGTATTGACATTTTCGCAACCGAAGCTTCCTTTTAAAACCTTGCTGACATTTTCGTTAAACAAGTGAGCCAGCTTCTTGAAATGTATGTAGATGGCTCATCAACCCTCGAGTTCCACTGTTATTAGTTTCTTTTACAGTTAACCAGTGTATTAATTACCTTAACTTTGTTGCTATGTTTTGATTACATCAAATTTATATTCCAAAACGTTAGCATATTATTGCACAACTTGAAATATGAATCTTATCACCATTGTTAGCCCATGCCCATCAATAATTTCTAAATATTTCTACTTTGCCACTTTAAATTCTGTGATCAGGTTGGCATTAAAATCGCAGGTTATGTCACAAGGTTGGCTGACCTGAAACTCTTCAAAAGAGAAACATTCAGTATTGTTACCCTATTATTCTTATCAGAATAACATGCTAAAATTACTAATTTTAGTAACAATAAAGGTTCAGTTGGGAATAATAATTTACATTAACATTCTCTATTAAATGTTCAGAGCCTTATTTTTGACATAGTACCATCAATTGACCCACCAGCCCCACCCCAATTTGGAATATTGGGCAGAAGTTTCCAAAAATTGCAGGTTAAAACAATAGTTTCACGGGTGATCCTAAAAAGCTGCTGGAAAACTTGAGCAGTTTCTCCAATTTTCCACCAAAGAAAAGAGGAAAATGCCATAGGGATGGGTACTAAAATTGGTCAGATTCACAGGCGTTATTGTCCAATTCACAGGTGGCTCCTGCCCAATTTTCCAGGGAAGGCTGTGACATAGAAGGAGAGCAGCTACTGTACATCAGTCATTTATGGAAGTGTAGAAGGTATTGCCATATTAATAATAACAAACTTTTTATTTACTCATGAACTAGTCTTTTAACAATGCAATACCGTATTTACTCGCTAAATAAAACAATACTTTATTCAGTCACAAAAAGCTACTTTCAGTCAGTGTTTTTTTGTGACTGAAAAATGTATTGCTTTATATAGTGACTAAGTAAGTTATTGCTTTATTAAACGACTAGTTGATTGTTAAAAAAATAATTTGTTATTAATAATGAAGAAAAACATTCAACACTCCTATATGTGACAGCTGTAGCCTCTATCTTTCAATGTCTCAGGTAGGGCTGGTGGGCCGATTGATAATACGTCAAAAGTCAAAGCTCTGAACAATTAAGAGACGGCATTTATCTAAATTACTATTCTCAAAAAAATCTTCATTGTTAATAATAATAGCAATTTTAGCATGATACAAGTAATAGGGTAACTATGCTGAATGCGGTACAAAATGGAAGGGTGAATTCAGTTTGTTTAAGAGCATCCGACATGTTGACTTAAAATGTGAAAAATGTGATTCCAGTATTTAAAATACCTGAGTAAAAATATCTAGAAATTGACAATTGGATAACTATGAAGACAAGATACATATTGTGTGATAATTGCTGAAGTTTTGGCAAATGAAATTCATGCAAACAAAATCCATCAAGTAAGTACAGTTAGTTTTTACAAATTCTGTTTAGTTCTTCATTAATGTAAAAGTATATCTGTAAAAGACTGTAATAATATTTGCTTTGCATATATATTGCCGTTTCACAAATAAATATTAATTCCATTATTTTTGTGCTCCCAATCAAATCAGAAACACATTAGCACGATTTTATTGATCTGCATTAGCCCCAGCTCTCCAGTTTCTCAGGTGCATCATGTGAGGACATTTCATTTCTTAAATAAAAACCTGAATTTGATGCATCTCATCACATGTCTGCATTGTTAATTTATGTCGTAACATTTCATTGTATCATTACTAGCCACAGAATCATTGCTGTTATTGTCATTTATCCCTCATTTAAATTTCAAAAAGAAATAACTAAGAAATTTATTTGTCAATTAGGCAAAAAATTTTTCAATTTTACATAATAAATCATCAAGGAATGGTCCATAATGAAAAAGAAATGCACCTAGACTCGAATTAAGAAGCACGCAACAGCATTTCTGCCTAAAAGTTCAGACATTAAAAGCGCTGAAAACCATCCAAGAGTGGAAGAGTCTTCGTAAACAAGTAAGTGAGTATTAATTACTTTGTACAAATTCAAGTTTTTATATTATTCTATGCAATGCTCTATCCAAAGCATATGCTTTCAATTGAGAACTTAGGTGTATTGCATTATGATTGTATTTTCTAGCAATGCTTGCTGAATTAAACCTCTCTAACAATACAGTTAGTTTTATAGTTCCACAATTAAATTACAAATTTTGTTCTTTGGCATTAGAGTTAGCATAATTATTTACTACACAATAATTATTTCCAGCTGAATCAGCTACAAAGCCAACCATGGGAGTGGAGACTGAAGATCCCCTACAAGAAGTATTGCAGTACTTCACTACTCTGCATCATGATGGCCATCACACTCTGACTTGTGACTGGATTCCCTAAAAGTGAAGGTGAAGGAGCTGACTCTTCATATGAGCTTTCCATACGACCCATGCTCTTTTTGTCTTGGGCAAGCTGTCTCAATTTTATTATAAAGTTTAAAGAATTTGTCTTGGTTAATATCCTGCTCATTGTCAAAAATGTCACAAATTTATCGGCACTATTCACTGAAAATCAGTTGAGATCTGAGAAAACTTATGCTAGTAAACTGTCGACTGGGTTGCGCGTAAACAAGTGGATAATCTTTGGCGTTGATGAATAAATGAGATGTTGATTGTACTATTTCCATCCTCAGGGCCGTCGTCATTAGTGCACGCAGATCAGCGCTGTCGTTCCATCAGCAAATGCGAGGTGCCGTGCCTCGTGGCGTGGACGGACTGGTGACATTTTCCGCTTCCCATTACGCTGCAGACAACGAATAACCGAATGCTGTCTGCGCAGCTGTGGTATCTGATGAGGTTTGTAATTCCCTCTGTATATTGTGGCTCGGCAGTTTCTGATTCATCAGCGAATTTTGATGTATTTTTAAAGCCAATTTCAGGCATTTAAAACTTCAATCGTTTGGTTATAATTGCAAAATTGAACATGCAGGATAGGCATTTAAAATGATTTAATGGTTTCAAATATTGATAAAACAATCAGTTAATATTAATACAATTATTTTGGAGTAACTTAAATATTTTTGCAGGTACTTTGCGAGCCTAAATCCTTCACCGCAGGAGTGCATCCAATAGGGCTTTGACCACGAAGAAAGGTATCAACTGGGGAATGTCTGCTGTTTGGCCCGGCCGCGGAACCTACAGAAGTAAAGTGGCACGCAGCGCAGTACCCACACGGCGAAGATGCAGCTGAGTTACTGGCAATTAATAACCCCTCCAAACCCACGCTCATTCCTTCCCGATTGCTTCTGCCCCTCCAGTGTAAAGACTCGTTAAGGTGGCCCTGCGGTCTCGCTTTAATTGGTCATTTCGTTGCCAAAGTTTTGGTAGATGGCTGCCTGCCAGCAGGCTCCTACGTACTTGACGGATCCTTCGCAGGACCATCGCCTCCAACACCGCGAGGACCCCCGAGAATTCTCTCCAGGGTCCTGACCGCCCCACCTCTCCAGGCCTTGTCCTGACCGCCCCACCTCTCCAGGGTCCTGACCGCCTCACCTCCCCACAATCCTGGCCGCCCCACCTCTCCAGGGTCTTGACCGCCTCACCTCTTCCAGAATCCTGGCCGCCCCATCTCTCCAGGGTCCTGACCGCCCCACCTCTCCAGGGTCCTGACCGCCCCACCTCTTTAGGGCCCTGGCCGCCCCACCTCTCCAGGGTCGTGACCGCCTCACCTCCCCCAGAATCCTGGCCGCCCCACCTCTCCAGGGTTCTGACCGCCCCACCTCCCCAGAATACTGGCCGCCCCACCTCTCCAGGGTCCTGACCGCCTCACCTCCCCCAGAATCCTGGCCGCCCCACCTCTCCAGGGCGCACCCGAGAAAGTAATGCTCCCGTGCCCCTGCCACTCTGAGCTGGATCAGCAACGTTCGTGCTTTTGTAGGCACCTTGGATTCTTTACATTCAGGATGGAGTTTTTCGCAAAAAGCACGGCTTTTCTCGAGTGTGAGGGAACCATTCCGCTCCGCTGAACACCTCTTCGACTGCCTGTCCTTGCAACGGACGTTCCCGTCTCCTTCCTGTGAGAGTCATCGCTCCAGGTTGCAGTCTTCCTGACCTCTCTCCCAGCATGAAGAGAAAGCTGGAACCGGAAGCCGAAGCTTTGTGTTCGACATCGAAATTTGTAAATCAAGTTCTTTTTACGCATCTCTAACTGCGTAGCACTAAAGCTTACATGTGGAAACACATATGCGAGAGCCATTGAACGGCCGTTCATACCTTGGTCGTCTCTGTCTCTTATTTTGCTTAAAGTTGCATTGTATCAGTTTCTCCTGTTATACTTATGAAGTGCATTTTAGATCATTTATCAAGTTCTTAGCTACTTATGTGCGTCTCACTTTAGCTGATTTGGGACGAGTTCTATTCAGTGACCCGGTGTAGATTATCTCATAGCGATACTCGTAAACCATTTGATTTTTGATCTGGTCTTCCGAATTTTATGGAATTGATTTCACTTGTGATTTACCGTGCAGAATTTCCATTTTGAACTTAAAACATAATTTTAAATAGTAATAGTAACATTAGGAATAGCATTATTCTACCCATATTTATGTTAAATGTGACCTATTTTTTTACCATTAATCATGGGGCATCTATCAATTTACACCAAGTTTATAGCCAGGAAATTGTCTTAGGAAGACGCCATGAGATGATGTTCGTTATTATATCACTCCATTATATTATATCATTCCAAATCCAATCCAACAACTACTTTACCCATCTAGTTACAAGATTTTGAATAATTTCGCGGCATTTCTCACTTGTTTGCCGATCTTCAGATTTTAAGACCGCCTATCAATCATAGCATAACATTACTTAGTGATGTCGGCGCTAAAGAGTAGGCCTAATGTGGCCTGTCGCTGATTCTTTTCCCTTTTGTGACTTGTACACAGAAGATCTAAAATCGTGTCATTTGACCGGATATTTTCATGACTGACGATAGTTTGAAATAGCTACTAGACTTCCACCGGGTTCGATATGGTGATAGGCATTTCAAGTCTGAACATATATTTTTCTTTAGCCATATCTAGTCTGTTCATGAACGCGTTAATACTCGGAGCGCCAACGATGTTTTCGGGGAGGCTGTTCCACATGTCGGTGATTCGAAGCGAGAAGAAATGTTATCACGTGGATAAGTTTTATAAGATTTAAACCACGAAACATATATACGAAAAATCGGAATTTGTAATTTAATGCCACCTGAATGCTTAAGTTACTCATAATGGTTAAATTTGAATAATTTTAATATTCTCCCCACCTAAGATTTGAAAGTCGTTTGAAATCTAGCTGATTATCATTTGCTACTTAATAAAAATCTAACCTTTTGATATTTCGTTTCGTAAACGCCACATAAGTATAACATTTTGTTAAGCCCCAACATCTGAGTTTGTCCAGCTAATGTTTTGCATTCATTCATGTGTAGCATAGTTTTGCAGTTTTGTAATTTCATTTCAAGATGAATAAAATTCAGTATTTCCAAGACTTATAACGTGCCCGTTGTTATGTAGGCATGGAAAGCTTGAATTCACATTCCATCTAAACTTTGAATTTCGAATATATTGTGATAAACAATGGCAAAGAACTAATTTATATAACAGTACAGTTATTTTTTACAGTAACCCTTGGAAATAAGAAGAAAGGCTGCTGGGTAGGAAAATGCCGAGAATGCAACTGCAGCCAAGCAAAAACAGCGGTCAAGAGGCCCACGGAAGGCGTTCAAGGATACCGTCTCAATATATGGAAATCTAAGACTGGAAGAACGAGGTTGCTCTAGTCCTCTGCAACTAGCTTTGACAACTCTTTCCTGTTGATTGATTGTTAAAAATTGCGTTTACAGCCTATTACAATAATTGTTGTCTATATTAAGAACTATTGAATGGGTTGGAAAAAAATTGAACTGCTGGTCGGATTCCATTCTATTGCATTGATGCATCGAAGAATGAGGCGAGTTTTTGTGCTTTGTGACGAAGGGTAGAGAAAATGCAGCTGTTTTATGGAACAAGTATAATATATTGACATGCACCCATGCAAGCATCGGTCTTTTAATTGCTCATCAACTAAAAAATTTATCTAGAAAGTTATATAATTAATTACTTACAGCTAGCTAACTTTATCTTTGTTCACAATACACGAGGCTAAAAATATTTCAGAGAAATCAAAACGTACCATTTCTGATGCCTTATAAATGCCTATTGATTTCATATATGAGATAAAAATTCTTGTGAATCCTCATTCGATTCAAAATTAACAGGAAAATTATTGCTCTATATATATACATATAACTCAATATATACATAGTTCAATTGTATAGAGAACAAATCGAAAGTAACGCGGGAAGCACATGTTTTGCATACAATAAAGAATCTGACGACAGTTCTTTGTTTTATTTTTATTTTTAATTCATCATCAATCAATTTACACAATTTACATTAGTTACTCTGAATAGTTCTTGGTAGTCATGCAGTAATAAATCATTGCCTCATTTTTAAAGATAATAATCGGCGAAAGGGCAAAATTTTACTTCACAATTACAGGCTTCAATTCCATCACAATTCATAGTACAATTTTATCATAAGCCTTGGAATTCCAAGCGTTGCATGTCTAGTCACCGAGCTTTCGGACGAAAGTTTCGTTACAAATTGAGTAGTTACAAAAACTGATAAAAATGTTCAGATTCGAAAAATTCGAAATCTCATTCATTTGTAATCTGTGTAATTTAAGTGAACGTAACCTCATATTTTTTCACCTTTACTCCGAAAAGCGAATACGTAAAATTAAATTCAGTTCTATGAAGATTTAGGATTTATCAGATGATATGAGCGTATCAATTCATGAAATACTCGTTCCGCACGAAGTAAACATATAATACAAATCCGAGAATGTGTTAAGAGGCTGTTTACGATCAAAATACCTAAAATCTTAATATTTGAATGTAAAATTTACTGAAGCTTACGAGTGGAGTCCCACGCAAACTTTTGACGCGGTAAATTGTATACGACATTAATATACTTAATATTCAATATCAGCCTCGCGATACGAGGCTGATATTGCACACGTTGCACAAAATAAAATTAATCATGTAGGAACAAGTAGTATATGGGACTCATTTGACATGCTTGGTCCCATTTAATAATAAGAACTAGCATAATTGTGCTGTCAAACACGCTATTAGATTTATCTGATGACTAACAACCATAATACAACTTTTAAGTTACAAAATATTATGCAGATTACATCCGGCTCATCCACCAAGTGAACATCTTCAGTTATAGGAAGACCCTTCTTTATTATTACCAAACTACTACCGAAGAAGGGGATTTACATTATTATATTCATTCAAATTTTGAAAATTTCAAGAAGGGCGGCGTTCTATAAAGCTAGACGAGAAGCGTTTCAGGTGCGGCCAAAAGTTGGCCCGCTACAATGTATTTGTTAAGTACCCCCCGTAAATCTGGCTCGTTGCACTTAAGATACGAATAGCATTGGAATACTAAGGTATTCGTAGGATAATTTAGGCAAGTCGCTACGTTAGTGAACGCTATGTTAGTTTAGAGGTGCTAACTCTCAAGTGTATGAAACTGAGGCAGGGATTTCTGTCGGTTTGAGCCTTTTCAAATTGATTCTGAAGAGGTTGAGATCCTCTCGAGAATAAAAATAATAAACTCTTTCATTAATAATTTACAAAATAAATTCTAATTATTCTCGTTAAGAATAAAATCTATGTCCGCACAATTTATTTACAAAAAAATCAGATCGAAACAGCTTTCGAAGAAGAAAAGAAACATTCTAGCCAGTAGAAGAAACAACGAATTGCTTCTCACTGCCTCCCGTTATTCGTTTCCTGGGAACATTATTTTTCTCATGGATTTCGTTCATTTTTGTGTTTTCGGTCATACTTTCGTCCTCGGAAAGTTCCTCACCAGATGACCTACCGTCAGCGAAGCCTTCTTTTTTAGATAATTTATTTTTGATTGCCTTTGCTAGCTCCAAGGTCCAAACGCAGTGCAGGAACAGTAAAACAAACATGCTAGTAAAACCCATTATAAACGCCGGCCACACCTCAAAATCAGAAGTGGATTTATACACAAGTAGCGGTTTAATGACTAACATCGGATAAAGCCCAAGTCTTGTTATAATCCAAACCACAGTGAAAATTGCCATTAAAGCCGTTACGTATTTTTTTCCACTTGAGTAATCACACATTTTAGCAAGAGATAAGGGTATATCGGCTACCTCGTGAATTAAAACGCTCAACGATAGTATTTTTATTGCGTTGACGGAAAGACAAATTGAATTGATTGAGAAAACTACCACATGATGGCTCAACATTACGTAGAAGTCGTGACGTCGGTCCAGAGTAAGCAAAGTGTACATTTGGGTGACGTAGAATCCACAATCGAAGGCGCAGTACCACCAAATTATGGCTGGAGTTCGTTGATACGGCATATCGCTTAGGACCAAAGAGGGATCCCAAACGTAATCTTGGGGTAAAACGATGAAAATTCCAGTGATAAAAAAGCAGCTATAAAAGAATCCCTGCCAACCCATGTCACAGAATTTTTCTAATGTGGTCATCTGAGAAGATAAAGCTTTTTTCCGAAGCCATCTTTCGACTGCTCGCTCCGACCAGTTGATGCGCGACGCGGCCGCTGTCAGCAGTTGGCGCGGCGGTCGCGCTCGGTTAACAGCATACAAATCTTCAAGAGTTTTGTTGGGCGGTGGAGCAGCGTACGGCCGAGACCTGACGCCAGCTCTCAGGCCAATGGGCTTCAGAATTAATGGGATGAGGATGTAATCTCTAAAAATGTACAACGCAGCGCCAAAAATCAGAGCCCATTTCCAAAATTCTAGAAAATTTGGATATGGCTCACCGGTTGTTTCCTCAACGTCTTTAAATGTTACACTTGGTGGTAAACAGAACCATTCACTCCAGGTCCTATTGGCCATGATTTCTTTGTGGTTACTTCACTACTGCAGAGGACTGAGAGAATACTGGAAAATCAGATTTATGTATTAAATCACATTTATGTATTTTGCACTATATTATTTGTCAGTATGAAAAACGTAAAATTACGTATTTCATATTTTTATTGCTGGTTTAGATCAAAATTAACGTTATTAACCTCTATTTTTATAATTCTCGCTCATATAGATTCACAGTTTGTCAATATTCATTGATGTTAGTCACACAGTTTGCCAATATTCACTGAATACACATGGTATATAATACAAATTCAGATAGACGGCATACAGATTCACTGAGAGAAAATGCCAATGTACGGATTAACTTTTGAATGCACTTTAGGTTTAGGAAATTTAGATTGAGGCACTTTAGAATGACTGAACTTCGACCATTTGTTGGGCTTTTCTATTAAATAAATATAGTGCAAGATAGGAAAAAGCCCTCTGTGATAAATATATTTATAGTTCATAGCATCTACCATAAGTATGCTCGCCTCACTTAAACGGTAACAATGGAAAGGAAGTCTGTTGGCCGTTCAGCGCAGCCACCGAGGCACCTAGAGCGAGTGTCGACCTCGACTGGCGTCGCTAGTCTTATGTAGGGCCGAGTCGATTTTGCCAGTGGCGTTTGAGCCGGAAAATAAGGGAGACAGACTCGGAATTTTGGATATATATATATACCTTTACCCTGATATGATTTAACGCCATGAAATGTGCTTGATTCGAGCACTTGTCCATTAACTGTACTGTACGGTAGGTGAAAAACGCATTCTGGTGTTCAGTGTTTTTGAAACCCTTGCCCAGCCAAGTTTAAATTATTTCTAACTGGATATTAAAAATTTGCATCCTATTTAATATTCATATTTTCTAACAATTGTACATCAAATTCAGTAAAAATCGTTAAATCTGGTTAATAATAAACATAGTACTCTTCTTTTCTGAGCAGCTTATTAGAAATTATTATTTTAAAATTAGAAAATTCAAATTACGTTTTATTTTGAATTTGAATCGATTTTTTAGACTATACATTCAAATTAATCGATATTTAGATGGACTTATGAGGTATGCTTCTGAGACTTGATGTCTCTTTCACTAATGTCCGAGAATATTTCACCAAAATATTTTATGCACTTAAGGTCAACTTACAGTACATCATCATATTGATGTTTTTTTTACATTGAAGAAATAATATGAAGTTTGGGAATGTTTTATCATGCGAAAAATTTCATAAATTAAACCAATTAGTAAATAGATGTAATACTGATTGGTTCACATGGAATTAATTCATGTGAAAAACATTAAAAACTATAGCTTCATTTCGAAAGGCATCATTTGATCTTGAATTCATACTTCGGAATCTATTTCATTTGATATAGTTTTAAGGCTCTCATCCCTTCCTTCCATACCCATAAGCCAAATAATTCCATACACTTCTAGGTTTTTTTCTTCCACTCAAAATTCCTTTCAATTATAGTTAATATTACTAATTATCCATCACTTGGTTTGTGATGACGAAGTGATCTCAATTTCTTGCCCTCAAAAATTCCATCACCTCATATAGAAGGAATATCTTGAAGCTTCCAACATGTCTGCAGTCTGCACATAACGAATTTCTTGTCTAACCGTTATACTGACGGTGTTTCACGTTCAAACCGGCTTAATGTACGTCAGACGCCGCTACTAGTCGCTAATATGTATTTGGGTACTATATTGTCGCGTTATCAGGAACGACAGAAAAACCTGTGACCGTATCTATACTGTCTATTTTAGTGAAGCATCAAGTTCTTTGAAGATAGTCTGAAATATGTTCGGTCGGTATAATAGATGGTCTTGGGTCAACACCGACTACTGAGCTACTATTGCACTAGGATTTAGAATATCACGATACAGCACCACTTTACTCACGCTGACAATATTCTATTGGACATACAATATTCCATTGTGCATAGATGAAACGGAGTAAAGAGCCTTGTAGCAGTGAAAATCGAACTTTATATTATTGTTTAGTCACACTCACCTCACAATGGCTTGCCTCGTGTAAAGGAATTTTTAACGTGACTCCTTTGAGGCGCTTGCAGTGCAAATCATTTCAAGATCCCATCGTCGATGTTGTCGGTATACAAGCGATGGTTGTTCACTTGACATCATTGAAAATCAGACTGAGCCTGTATTTGCAAATGTTCATGATGTTTAAATGCTGATAGATGAATATCTTAATTATAATCATTTTAATATCTGACATATGATGTGACACGAAAAGCTAAGATTCCGTAAAACATGATCATGTAGTACCGTATAATTTATATATTTTTCTCCTGTATTATCCAATGTTTCACTCCCAATTGAAAAAGCAACTCCGAATTTTGGTGCAACTATTTCCCAATGTTAGAATTTCAATGCAAAAACCGTAGACGAATCATTTTTCCTTTGTTATCCAGTGTTTGAATTTTAATCATGGTATATCTCATATATCTGACTCATTGCATAAAAAAGCTCATATGAATGTTAATATAATATAGTGTGGTGGTTGTCTGCAAACAATTGTTTTAAAAACGGCTCGATTATGTTTTCCTCCATGAGATTCAGAAATAGAGAAAAGTTTAATGGAATTTTTCTCATAAACAAGCGGGAACGGGATCAAGAGCTTCTGCAATCAGGCACGAACCAAAGTACGAATGTAATTAAGACTGCCTTAGTGCTGGTGTTATCATGTCATTTTTCTCTGAAAATCTATATTTTTGATGACCATTTTCGACCATTGAAAAGAGTTTCAGTTATTGTTGCTAATGTAAGACAACATTGATAACTCACTTTGACATAATCGTTAATTGTTTTAGTTTGTTTTTATGAAATAAACTACATGACTTGATCAAATTAACGAGTCGCCGCGTCTACAGTACAGAACAAACCGATTTTATCGGCGCTTACTTGAATAATTGATTTGTACCTTAACAAATATAATAGAAGTCGGTACATTATTTTACTAAACGTAATGCTCAGTTAACTATATTACGTGAGTAATATAATTACTCACATACGTAATTATATTACTATTTTATATTACGTAATATTACGTAATATCAATTACTCATAATTCGTAATATTACGTGAGTTGCAGATAGTGAGGTTGTGTTGGCAGCTATTGGATGGGATTTCTGATGCCTTAGGCACATCCTATAGCTAGCTTCGGGAATGGGCTTCCCAGGTCTAGCTCAGCAAAATTTCCTCCTAAGCCAGAGCAGCGGCGCAAAAAGTGATGCTTGCACGTTTTTTGTTAGAGCTGGCGCTTTTTATTGTGGGAAATATCCAACCGTTGCCTAATTTTGTTCATTCCTTGAACATTATTTCGTAAGAATACGATTATTGTTTTAGTTCAGTCTAAAGTAAGTTTAAATAGAAGGGTAGTTTAGGTCAGAGCCGGGCTCCCGGAATTGACAAAGTCTCATTGATACATCGCAGTTAAATCTGTCGTCTTCAGCCGCTATTTCACCAGCATTCAATCCTAATTCTAATTATCTTCCTTGTTCTATAATTTATCTATTCCTTGGTTTGAAAATTCAGTATTCTTTCGTTTTGTTAAGTTCGCCCAGATCCGTACTTAATTATCGTGTGCGATGCTTCAGACTTCAATAATCTAACTTGAATTATTCAACTTCATATGGATGCGGCTCCAATGCAAGATCTATTCTATAGAGTTTACACCAAATCGCTTTAACTTTAATCTTACTTCAACGAACCAATGTTCAACTTTTCTTACTTTATTTTCGTCTGAAGCGTCCACCTTCGACTGATTTCTTCTTTTTCCCTCAGATTCAATTCTTCCCGAAAGTGCGTTAGCACACTGAGTGGCAATTTAATCTCAGGTGAATAGATTTAGTTTACTAAAACCTCATTTCAATTTACTGAATTAAATTATTTAATGATTTATGCTCTGTCTTCTATTATCAATTTATTAAAATTACTCAATTTTTTCACATTATGAACCGCAAACCTGGTGCATAGATGGCGGCGACGCAGCAGCTTCGACTTAAACCTTTTGCCGCTGTACATCCCTTTTCCAGCCATTTATTCTCGCTTAGCTTCTACTTTAGGTTAAACTAATCCGTCCCGCGGTTCCAAGAATACAAGCATTCAAAGATTCAAGTTCAAGTTTTAATTCAATTCACTCCTCGTGTCAATGAATTTTTTAACGTTTAACTTGCTTCACTACTTTTAATTGCGATCCGATTTGATGAATTTATTCATATTATTCGTGAATTAGCGACGCTGTTGTAAGGGATAGAAATGAGTTATCATGATGAAGTATAGCTTAAGGCTGTAATATTTGTTAAGAAATGTTTTTTTTTTAAATTTCGTTTGTTATTTTAGTTTCAGAGTTTTACGGAGGAAATGTATGTACTGAATGCTAAGGTTCGACGATTATTGTGGCGTGCAAAGCCGGATCTAGGGAACAGTAGGTAGCTTCTATTCTATTAAATACTTCAATTGGCTTCACAGCAAAAATAGGGATTCAGTGTGCGGAAATAGACGACGACAAATGACTATTTTGACGGTATCCTATGCTGCCTTTGCGCTCCCGAGAAAAAAAAAACAACTGTTCTCCGACACCGGTTTTTCCAGATGCATTCTCTCAGCGACAAAATATTGGGATATTTGTCTAAATAAAATTTGTCTCTTGAATTTAGTCCGCTGAATGACATAACCTTAATTTTTGCAGAATTAACGGAAACAACTACAGATTTTTGACAGAAGAAAAATATACGAATTTAGGTGAGTGAAATTTATTCCAATCAAGTAATTTCGGATTATGAAGTATCTAAAAAAAACTCATAATTGCAAACCACAACTTGCTCTTATCTTATCAACTACTCGCTTCAACTGCTTTAAATAACGGATATTGAAGCATAAAAATGTTCGCCCCATGTTTTCAGGGGGGACCGCTGCGATGTTTGGTATGTCAAAAACTAGTCTGATCTTCCGGCTTCAACTGGATTCACAGTGCATCCTAATTTAGACAAAATAGGAACTGGACATGATTCTATGATATTGAAAAATTGTAGAAAACACAAAATTTTTAAATTATTTCAAAAGATACATTCAAAGTTAAGATTTAGGGCAGAAACTAAAGTCCACATGCACCAGACGTAATATTTGCCTCTACAATGAATCACAGGGTGATATTAGAACTATACTAAGCGGATTCCAAACAATCGGACGATGACGCAGCTTGATGTGGCCGAGTGGAGATCACCAAGATCATATTCGCGAGTTAGGGGTTCGAGACCCACGTCTTGAGTGAAAATTCTGGTGACGATTAAGAAGGTGGCCTGGCGTTTGTGAATCGGCTGCAGACAAATAAGTGCCAATCATTTAATCGTTGCATCATTCTTGATATATCAATATCTTTACTCATTCTCAAGTAGCCAGATTGTATGATGAGAGCGAGGTGTTTGTCACCTTTACACATAACGTTAAGACACAATTTTGGTCACTTTTGTGTATTGAGCACATGCATGGTCAGCATTTGTTTTTAACTGGTTTTGTGGTAAGCAAAGGATTTTCC